AGCATCGCCTTGCCAGGCACGCTGAGGAGAGGCTTGCGGAGCCCCAATGCGGTTTCAGGAAAGGGCGGTCCTGCACAGATGCCATATTTTCTGTCCGTCTGCTACAGCAGAGGTGTAGGGAATTCCAACAAGACCTACATCTCTGCTTTATTGACCTGGTCAAGGCCTATGATACCATCAGTAGGCCTGGGCTCTGGGTCGTTCTTCGTGCTTTTGGAGTACCTGACTCTCTGCTCACGATCATTAAGGACCTTCATGATGGTGAGCGGGCCCAGGTAAAACTACGTGGCCGGGAGTCAGAGCCATTCCCTGTACACCTTGGGGTGCGACAGGGATGTCCTCTGGCTCCCACATTATTTAACATCTATTTTGACCACGTAGTTCGTTAAGCCTTCAATAGCTGTACCGGGGGAATCTCCATATGGTACAGATATAATGGGAGGCTAATCGATGCCCGGGTGCGGTCAAGGGATGGCTCCCTATTGCTCAACCACGTTATGTATGCTGATGACTTGGTAATAGCTGCTCAGTCAGAGGAGGAGTTGGAGACGCTGCTGCTGAGACTGGAGCGTGCCACTAAGAGGTGGGGCCTTACCATCAGCCCCACCAAAACTAAGCACCTGCCTGGGTATTTTGTACCATCGGACACTCCACCCCCACAACTCCCAATCGGTGATGGGGCAGTTGTGGAGAGAGTGGAGAGTTTCCCATACCTGGGCAGTGTGCTTATGACTGGCTCCAGTTTAACAGCAGAGGTCTCACTCCGAATCAGTCGAGCGGCAATATCTTTTCATCGGTTGCGTAACGCTGTGTGGAAGCTACCTGGTCTGTCGCTCCGCACTAAGCTTCAGGTCTTCTCGGCCACAGTCATTCCCTCCCTTCTCTACGCTTGCGAAACGTGGACTCCCCTAATGGAACATCTTCGCCGGTTAGAAACATTTAGGCTGGCCTGCCTACGATCCATCCTGGGTTTAACCAGACTGGATTGTGTGAGGAGCTCACAAATCCTTGAAAGATCTGGGCAGGGTCCCATCGGTGAGCTCCTCCGGCAGGCAAGGCTGCGATGGCTGGGTCATGTAGCCCGCATGCCCAGCCACCGCATGCCGAAACAGCTTTTGTTTGGCCGGATTGAGGGGGCTAAGTGGGCGCGGCACGGGCTAGAGAAGAGATGGAGTGATGTGGTACAGGAGGACGTGGAGCTGAGTGGACTTGCCGATGACTGGTACCAGCGGTGTCAAGATCGGCCTCTGTGGAGGAGGCTCGTGAAGGATGCTACTGGGCAGTTGGAGGCAGTCGCCCTCCAACAACAACGGAGGGCGGAGGAGCGACGCTCACAACAGCGAGCGGAGCGCCGGGTGGCTAAAGCACAGCAGGTTGGCACAGTAGGGGGCACAGGTGGTGCATCAGCCAGTCATCTCAGTCAGTCGACCCGTGGCACCTGGGTCTGCCCCGTGACCTCCTGCCAGCGGGCGTTCGACACTTCACGTGGCCTCAGGGTGCACATAGCCTGGCACAAGCGTCGTGGTGACGTCACCGCCACTTAGTGGCGAATGGCGGTTGTTGTTGTTGTTGATGGTGGTGGTGATGGCTGTGATGGTGGTGGTGATGGCTGTGATGGTGGTGGTGATGGCTGTGATGGTGATGGCTGTGATGGCTGTGATGGTGGTGGTGATGGTGGCGGTGATGGCTGTGATGGTGGTGGTGATGGCTGTGATGGTGGTGGTGATGGCTGTGATGGTGGCGGTGATGGCTGTGATGGTGATGGCTGTGATGGCTGTGATGGTGATGGCTGTGATGGTGGTGGTGATGGCTGTGATGGTGATGGTGATGGCTGTGATGGTGATGGCTGTGGTGGTGATGGTGATGGTGGTGATGGCTGTGATGGTGGTGATGATGATGGTGGTGGTGATGGTGATGGTGGCGGTGATGGTGATGGCTGTGATGGTGGTGATGGCTGTGATGGTGGTGGTGATGGCTGTGATGGTGGTGGTGATGGCTGTGATGGTGGCGGTGATGGCTGTGATGGTGATGGCTGTGATGGTGGTAGTGATGGCTGTGATGGTGGTGGTGATGGCTGTGATGGTGGTGGTGATGGCTGTGATGGTGGTGGTGATGGCTGTGATGGTGGTGGTGATGGCTGTGATGGTGATGGCTGTGATGGTGATGGTGATGGCTGTGATGATGGTGGTGATGGCTGTGATGGTGGTGATGGCTGTGATGGTGATGGCTGTGGTGGAGATGGTGATGGTGGTGATGGCTGTGATGGTGGTGATGATGATGGTGATGGTGGTGGTGATGGTGGCGGTGATGGTGATGGCTGTGATGGTGGTGGTGATGGCTGTGATGGTGGTGGTGATGGCTGTGATGGTGGTGGTGATGGCTGTGATGGTGATGGCTGTGATGGCTGTGATGGTGATGGCTGTGATGGTGGTAGTGATGGCTGTGATGGTGATGATGGTGGTGGTGATGGCTGTGATGATGGTGGTGATGGCTGTGATGGTGGTGGTGATGGCTGTGATGGTGATGGCGATGGCTGTGATGGTGGTGGTGATGGCTGTGATGGTGGTGGTGATGGCTGTGATGGTGATGGCTGTGATGGCTGTGATGGTGATGGCTGTGATGGTGGTAGTGATGGCTGTGATGGTGATGGCGATGGCTGTGATGGTGGTGGTGATGGCTGTGATGATGGTGGTGATGGCTGTGATGGTGGTGGTGATGGCTGTGATGGTGATGGTGATGGCTGTGATGGTGATGGCGATGGCTGTGATGGTGGTGGTGATGGCTGTGATGGCGATGATGATGGTGATGGTGGTGGTGATGGTGGTGGTGGCGATGGTTAAATGACCGAACCTCTGTGAGTGTCCCGTCAGAAGCGTCGACCTGCCCAGTACCTGGATACACCGGCGGGGTGGACACGCAGATACACAGGCAAAGCTCCCCACGTAGCCTTCACAGCCTCTTGGGGCAAGTGCTGTTAGCGAGTAGCAGCAGCAGCGCCTATGATGACCGGCACTGCCTCACCTACTCAATCACTCACTCACCCACTCATTCACTCACCCACTCATTCACTCACTCACTCACCCACTCATTCACTCACCTACTCACTCAATCACTCACCTACTCACTCACTCACCTACTCACTCAGCTACTCACCCACTCACTCACCCACTCATTCACTCACTCACCCACTCATCTACTCACCTACTCACCCACTCACCTACTCACCCACTCACCCACTCATTGACTCACACACTCACACTCACTCACCTACTCATTCACTCACCTACGCACTCACTCACCTACTCACCCACTCACTCACCTACTCATTCACTCACCTACTCACTCACTCACCTACTCACCCACTCACTCACCCACTCATTCACTCACTCACCCACTCATTCACTCACCCACTCATTCACTCACTCACCTACTCACTCACTCACCTATGCACTCACCTACTCACTCACACACTCACCCACTCATTCACTCACTCACCTACTCACTCACTCAATCACCTACTCATTCACTCACTCACTCACTCACTCACCTACTCACTCACCTACTCACTCACACTCACTCACCTACTCAATCAATCACCTACTCACTCACACTCACTCACCTACTAACTCACCTACTCACTCATCCACTCACTCACTCACCCACTCACTCATTCACCCACTCACTCACCCACTCACTCACCCACCCACTTACTAACTCACTAACCCACTCACTCACCTACCTACTCACTCACCCACTCACCTACTCACTCACTCACCTACTTACTCACTCACCTGCTCACTCACTCACTCACTCACCTACTCACTCACCTACTCACTCACCCACTCACTCACCTACTCACTCACTCACCCACTCATTCACTCACTCACGTACTCACCCACCCACTCACTCACTCACCCACCTACTCACTCACCTACTCACTCACTAACCCACCCACTCACTCACTCACCCATTCACCCACTCACTAACTCACTCACCCACCCACTTACTAACTCACCCACCCACCCACTCACTTACTCACCCATTCACTCACCCACTCACCCACCCACTCACCCACCCACTCACCCACCCACTCACTCGCTCACCCACTCACTCGCTCACCCACTCACTCGCTCACCCACTCACTCACTCGCTCACCTACTCACTCACCCACTCACCCACCCACCCACCCACTCACCCACCCACCCACCCACTCACTCACTCACCTACTCGCTCACTCACCCACTCACTCAACCACTCACCCACTCACCCACTCACTCACTGACTCACTCACCCACCCACTCACCCACTCGCTCACCCACTCATTCACCTACTCACTAACTCACTCACCCACTCACCCACCCACTAACTCACTCAACCACTCACCCACTCACTCACTGACTCACTCACCCACTGACCCACTGACCCACCCACCAACTCACTAACTCACTCAACCACTCACCCACCCACTCACTCAACCACTCACGCACCCACTCACTAACTCACTCAACCACCCACTCAACCACTCACTCACTCACTCACCCACCCACCCACCCACTCACTCACTCACCCACCCACCCACTCACCCACTGACTCACTCACTCACCCACTCACCCACTCACCCACACACCCACTCACTCACACACTCACTCACCCACTCACTCACCCACTCACTCACCCACTCACCGACTCACTAACTCACCCACTCACCCACTCACCGACTCACTAACTCACCCACTCACCCACTCACTCACCCACTCACCCACCCACTCACCCACCCACTCACCCACTCACCCACCCACTCACCCACTCACTCACACACTCACTCACCCACTCACTCACACACTCACTCACCCACTCACCCACTCACTAACTCACTCACCCACCCACTCACCCACCCACTCACCCACTCACCCACTCACCCACCCACTCACCCACTCACTAACTCACCCACTCACTCACCCACTCACCCATTCACCCACCAACCCACCCAGTGTCCCTACCTGTACCCTTGCTACCAGGCGACTTGGAGTGAGGCCCTTGCTTTGGTGGTTGTGGTGGTGGTTGTGGTTGTTGTTGTGGTGGTGGTGGTGGTGCCTTTTCTTTGGATGTCTTCCAGTCAGATTCCCAGTCGTGTTTGTATCTCTCCTCCATCTCCGTGATCCTGCCATCATCATCAGCATCATCATCAGCATCATCATCAGCAACATCATCAACAGCATCAGCAGCATCATCAGCAGCATCATCAGCAGCATCATCAGCAGCATCATCAGCAGCATCATCAGCATCATCATCAGCATCATCAGCAGCAGCATCAGCAGCAGCATCAGCAGCATCATCATCAGATTTAGCGAAAAAAAATCACCTTGCTGATGACGATGATGGTGCTGATGGTTCGGATAATGACACCGCTGCTACAACTACTGATGACGCTGTTGCTGATGATGCTGCTGCTGATGATGCTGCTGATGATGCTGCTGGTGATGTTGCTGATGATGCTGCTGATGACGATGTTGCTGCTGATGATGACGCTTCTCGTACCTCTGTAGCTCCTTGCGATAACTCTCCTCCTCCTCCTGGCGCTTCCTGTCCACGTCGGCCTGCCTCCTACACACCACACACACACATACATATACACACACCACACACACACACACATACATATACACACACACACCACACACACACACATACATACATATACACAACACACACACACACATACACACACACCACATACACATACACCACACACACACCACACACACATACATACACCACACACACACACCACACACACACACATACATACACCACACACACACACACATACATATACACACACCACACACACATACACACACACCACATACACATACACACACACCACACACACACATACATACATATACACACACACACCACACACACACACACATATATACACACACACCACACACACATACACATACACACACACCACACACACACATACATATACACACACACACCACACACATACACACCACACACACATACACACACACACCACACACACATACACAGACACTTACACACACCACACACCACACACACATACACACATACACACACCACACACACACACAACACACCACATACACACACACACACACCACACACACCACACACACATACACCACACACACACACACATACAGACACATACACACCACACACACATACACACACACACACCACACACACATACAGACACATACACACACCACACACACACACATACATATACACACACCACACACACATACACACACACATACATATACACACACCACACACACATACACACACACACATACATATACACACACACACACCACATACACATACACACACCACACACACACATACATATACAACACACACACACACATACATATACACCACACACACACACATACATATACACACACACACACACCACACACACACCACACACACACACACATACATATACACACACACACCACATACACATACACACACACACCACACACACATACATATATACACACACACCACACACACATACACACCACACACACATACACACACACACACACCACACACACATACACAGACACTTACACACACCACACACCACACACACATACACACATACACACACCACACACACACCACACACACACACAACACACCACATACACACACACACACCACACACACCACACACACATACACCACACACACACACACATACAGACACATACACACCACACACACATACACACCACACACACATACACACACACACACCACACACACATACAGACACATACACACACCACACACACACACACACACATACAGACACATACACACACCACACACACACCACACACCACACACACACCACACACACACACCACACGCACACACACCACACACCACACGCACACACACCACACACACACCACACACACCACACACACACCACACACACACACCACACACACACACCACACACACACACCACACACACACACCATACACACACACCACACACACACACCACACGCACACACACCACACACACACCACACACACACCACACACACCACACACACACCACACACACACACCACACACACCACACACCACACACACACCACACACACACACCACACACCACACACACACACACACCACACACACACCACACACACAGCACACACACTACACACACAGCACACACACCACACACACACCACACACACACCACACACCACACACACACACCACACACCACACACACACACCACACACACACACCACACACACCACACCACACTACACACACACCACACACACCACACACACACCACACACACACACCACATACACACACCACACACACACACACCACACACACACCACAGACACACCACACACACACACCACACACACACCACACACACACCACACACCACACACACACACCACACACCACACACACACACACCACACACACCACACACACACACCACACACACACACCACACACAACACATACACCACACACACACCACACACACCACACACACACCACCCCCCCCCCACACACACACACATACACACACCACTCCCACGCCCCACACACACACCACACAACACACACACACACCACACACACACACCACACACACCACACACACACACCACACACACACCACACACACACCACACACACCACACACCACACACACACCACACACACCACACACACCACACACACACACCACACACACCACACACACCACACACCACACCACACACACAGTAAGGGAACGGTGGTGCAGCAGTTAGCACACCGAGCACTGCCCTATCATCCTGGTGGGCCTCCCCTAGGTCGACTCAGCCTCAAATGACGGCCTGGTGAGGCGGTGAACACCGCTAGCGCTGGGGAGATACAAAGGCGGCCGGGCGTGGTGCTGACCACCCACAGCTCCGATAGCATTCGAAGGCCTTGCTGCTACTCACCAACACGTGGTGGGCGGTGAGTGGTGAGTGGGTTAGTGGGTGAGTGGTGAGTGGTGAGTGGGTGGTGAGTGGGTGGGTGAGTGAGTGAGTTAGTGGGTGAGTGAGTGAGTGAGTGGTGGGTGAGTGGTGAGTGAGAGGGTGAGTGGTGAGTGGGTTAGTGCGTGAGTGGTGAGTGGGTGAGTGGTGAGTGGTGAGTGAGAGGGTGAGTGGTGAGTAAGTGGGTGAGTGAGTGAGTGAGTGGGTGAGTGGGTAGTGAGTGAGTGGTGAGTGGGTTAGTGGGTGAGTGGTGAGTGGGTGAGTGGGTGAGTAGGTGAGTGGGTGAGTGGGTGAGTGAGAGGGTGAGTGGTGAGTGAGAGGGTGAGTGGTGAGTGAGTGAGTGGGTGAGTGGGTAGGTGAGTGGGTGAGTGGTGAGTGAGTGGGAGAGTGAGTGGGTGAGTGGGTGAGTGGATGAGTGGGTGAGTGAGTGGGTAGGTGGGTGGGTGAGTGAGTGGGTGAGTGGGTTAATGAGTGGGTAAGTGAGTGAGAGGGTGAGTAGTGAGTTAGTGAGTGAGTTAGTGAGTAAATGGGTGAGTAAGTGGATGAGTGGGTGGGTGGGTGAGTGAGTGAGTGAGTGGGTGAGTGGGTGGGTGGGTGAGTGAGTGGGTGAGTGGGTGAGTGAGTGGGTGAGTGAGTGGGTGAGTTTAGTGAGTAGGTGAGTTGTCGGCCTTCAAAGGCGCTGCTGATACTTACTATTGAAAGCACTTGCCCCTACAGCCCTGCGAGAGGCTACCTGGGGGAGCTTTGTCTGTGTCTGTGTGTCACCTTCTGTGGACGAGTGACTGCTCGAGGGCGATTTGCTTCTCCTTGAGCAGAGTCACCCTCTCCTGCTGCTTCACCCTGCGCTCCTCCTCTGTCTGGAACAAGTCCACCCCCTGGTACAGCACACACTCACAGAGTCACCCACAGAGTCACCCACACACAGAGTCACACACACAGAGTCACCCACTCAGAGTCACCCTCTCCTGCTGTTTCACCCTGCGCTCCTCCTCTGTCTGGAACAAGTCCACCCCCTGGCACACCACACACTCACAGAGTCACCCACAGAGTCACCCACACACAGAGTCACCCACTCAGAGTCACCCTCTCCTGCTGCTTCACCCTGCGCTCCTCCTCTGTCTGGAACAAGTCCACCCCCTGGTACACCACACACACACAGAGTCACCCACTCAGAGTCACCCACCCACTCAGAGTCACCCACTCAGAGTCACCCACTCAGAGTCACCCTCTCCTGCTGCTTCACCCTGCGCTCCTCCTCTGTCTGGAACAAGTCCACCCCCTGGCACACCACACACACACAGAGTCACCCACTCAGAGTCACCCTCTCCTGCTGCTTCACCCTGCGCTCCTCCTCTGTCTGGAACAAGTCCACCCCCTGGTACACCACACACACACAGAGTCACCCACTCAGAGTCACCCTCTCCTGCTGCTTCACCCTGCGCTCCTCCTCTGTCTGGAACAAGTCCACCCCCTGGCACACCACACACACACAGAGTCACCCACTCAGAGTCACCCTCTCCTGCTGCTTCACCCTGCGCTCCTCCTCTGTCTGGAACAAGTCCACCCCCTGGCACACCACACACACACAGAGTCACCCACTCAGAGTCACCCTCTCCTGCTGCTTCAGCCTGCGCTCCTCCTCAGTCTGGAACAAGTCCACCCCCTGGTACACCAACACCCACAGAGTCACCCACACACTCAGAGTCACCCACTCAGAGTCACCCTCTCCTGCTGCTTCACCCTGCGCTCCTCCTCTGTCTGGAACAAGTCCACCCCCTGGTACACCAACACCCAACAAGTCCACACACAGAGTCACCCACACACAGAGTCACTCACTCAGAGTCACCCACACACAGAGTCACCCACTCAGAGTCACCCTCTCCTGCTGCTTCACCCTGCGCTCCTCCTCAGTCTGGAACAAGTCCACCCCCTGGTACACCACACACACACAGAGTCACCCACTCACTCACTCACAGAGTCACCCACTCAGAGTCACCCTCTCCTGCTGCTTCACCCTGCGCTCCTCCTCAGTCTGGAACAAGTCCACCCCCTGGTACACCACACACCACACACACAGAGTCACCCACTCAGAGTCACCCACACACAGAGTCACCCACACAGAGTCACCCTCTCCTGCTGCTTCAGCCTGCGCTCCTCCTCTGTCTGGAACAAGTCCACCCCCTGGCACACCACACCCACTCAGAGTCACCCACTCACTCACTCACAGAGTCACCCACTCAGAGTCACCCTCTCCTGCTGCTTCACCCTGCGCTCCTCCTCTGTCTGGAACAAGTCCACCCCCTGGCACACCACACACACACAGAGTCACCCACTCAGAGTCACCCTCTCCTGCTGCTTCACCCTGCGCTCCTCCTCTGTCTGGAACAAGTCCACCCCCTGGCACACCACACACACACAGAGTCACACACACAGAGTCACCCACTCAGAGTCACCCTCTCCTGCTGCTTCACCCTGCGCTCCTCCTCTGTCTGGAACAAGTCCACCCCCTGGCACACCACACACACACAGAGTCACCCACTCAGAGTCACCCTCTCCTGCTGTTTCACCCTGCGCTCCTCCTCTGTCTGGAACAAGTCCACCCCCTGGCACACCACACACACACAGAGTCATCCACTCAGAGAGTCACCCACCCACAGAGTCACCCACTCAGAGTCACCCTCTCCTGCTGCTTCACCCTGCGCTCCTCCTCTGTCTGGAACAAGTCCACCCCCTGGTACACCACACACACAGAGTCACCCACTCACTCACTCACAGAGTCACCCACACAGAGTCACCCACTCAGAGTCACCCTCTCCTGCTGCTTCACCCTGCGCTCCTCCTCTGTCTGGAACAAGTCCACCCCCTGGCACACCACACACACACAGAGTCACCCACAGAGTCACCCACTCAGAGTCACCCTCTCCTGCTGCTTCACCCTGCGCTCCTCCTCAGTCTGGAACAAGTCCACCCCCTGGTACACCACACACACACAGAGTCACCCACTCAGAGTCACCCTCTCCTGCTGCTTCACCCTGCGCTCCTCCTCTGTCTGGAACAAGTCCACCCCCTGGCACACCACACACACACAGAGTCACCCACTCACAGAGTCACCCACAGAGTCACCCACTCAGAGTCACCCTCTCCTGCTGCTTCACCCTGCGCTCCTCCTCTGTCTGGAACAAGTCCACCCCCTGGCACACCACACACACACAGAGTCACCCACACAGAGTCACCCACTCAGAGTCACCCTCTCCTGCTGCTTCACCCTGCGCTCCTCCTCTGTCTGGAACAAGTCCACCCCCTGGCACACCACACACACACAGAGTCACCCACTCACTCACTCACAGAGTCACCCACTCAGTCACTCACAGAGTCACCCACTCAGAGTCACCCTCTCCTGCTGCTTCACCCTGCGCTCCTCCTCTGTCTGGAACAAGTCCACCCCCTGGCACACCACACACACACAGAGTCACCCACTCAGAGTCACCCACACAGAGTCATCCACTCAGAGAGTCACCCACCCACAGAGTCACCCACTCAGAGTCACCCACACAGAGTCACCCTCTCCTGCTGCTTCACCCTGCGCTCCTCCTCTGTCTGGAACAAGTCCACCCCCTGGTACACCACACACACAGAGTCACCCACTCAGTCACTCACACACAGAGTCACCCACTCAGAGTCACCCACTCAGAGTCACCCTCTCCTGCTGCTTCACCCTGCGCTCCTCCTCTGTCTGGAACAAGTCCACCCCCTGGTACAGCACCACCACCCACAGAGTCACCCACTCAGAGTCACCCTCTCCTGCTGCTTCACCCTGCGCTCCTCCTCTGTCTGGAACAAGTCCACCCCCTGGCACACCACCACCCACAGAGTAACCCACAGAGTCACCCACACAGAGTCACCCACTCAGAGTCACCCTCTCCTGCTGCTTCACCCTGCGCTCCTCCTCTGTCTGGAACAAGTCCACCCCCTGGCACACCACACACACACAGAGTCACCCACTCAGAGTCACCCACTCAGAGTCACCCACAGAGTCACCCACACAGAGTCACCCTCTCCTGCTGCTTCACCCTGCGCTCCTCCTCTGTCTGGAACAAGTCCACCCCCTGGCACACCACCACCCACAGAGTCACCCACAGAGTCACCCACACAGAGTCACCCACTCAGAGTCACCCTCTCCTGCTGCTTCACCCTGCGCTCCTCCTCAGTCTGGAACAAGTCCACCCCCTGGTACACCACACACACACAGAGTCACCCACCCACAGAGTCACCCACACAGAGTCACCCACTCAGAGTCACCCTCTCCTGCTGCTTCACCCTGCGCTCCTCCTCTGTCTGGAACAAGTCCACCCCCTGGCACACCACACACACACAGAGTCACCCACACAGAGTCACCCACTCAGAGTCACCCTCTCCTGCTGTTTCACCCTGCGCTCCTCCTCAGTCTGGAACAAGTCCACCCCCTGGTACACCACACACACACAGAGTCACCCACCCACAGAGTCACCCACACAGAGTCACCCACTCAGAGTCACCCTCTCCTGCTGCTTCACCCTGCGCTCCTCCTCTGTCTGGAACAAGTCCACCCCCTGGCACACCACACACACACAGAGTCACCCACACAGAGTCACCCACTCAGAGTCACCCTCTCCTGCTGTTTCACCCTGCGCTCCTCCTCAGTCTGGAACAAGTCCACCCCCTGGCACACCACACACACACAGAGTCACCCACAGAGTCACCCACACAGAGTCATCCACTCAGAGAGTCACACACCCACAGAGTCACCCACTCAGAGTCACCCTCTCCTGCTGCTTCACCCTGCGCTCCTCCTCTGTCTGGAACAAGTCCACCCCCTGGCACACCACACCCACTCAGAGTCACCCACAGAGTCACCCACAGAGTCACCCACTCACTCACAGAGTCACCCACTCAGAGTCACCCTCTCCTGCTGTTTCACCCTGCGCTCCTCCTCAGTCTGGAACAAGTCCACCCCCTGGCACACCACACACACACAGAGTCACCCACTCACAGAGTCACCCACTCAGAGTCACCCTCTCCTGCTGCTTCACCCTGCGCTCCTCCTCTGTCTGGAACAAGTCCACCCCCTGGCACACCACACACACACAGAGTCACCCACACAGAGTCACCCACTCAGAGTCACCCTCTCCTGCTGCTTCACCCTGCGCTCCTCCTCTGTCTGGAACAAGTCCACCCCCTGGCACAGCACCACACACAGAGTCACCCACAGAGTCACCCACACAGAGTCATCCACTCAGAGTCACCCTCTCCTGCTGCTTCACCCTGCGCTCCTCCTCTGTCTGGAACAAGTCCACCCCCTGGCACAGCACCACCCACAGAGTCACCCACAGAGTCACCCACTCACTCAGAGTCACCCACTCACTCACTCACAGAGTCACCCACTCAGAGTCACCCACTCAGAGTCACCCACTCACTCACTCACAGAGTCACCCACACAGAGTCACCCACTCAGAGTCACCCTCTCCTGCTGCTTCACCCTGCGCTCCTCCTCTGTCTGGAACAAGTCCACCTCCTGGCACAGCACCACCCACAGAGTCACCCACTCACTCACTCACAGAGTCACCCACTCAGAGTCACCCTCTCCTGCTGCTTCACCCTGCGCTCCTCCTCAGTCTGGAACAAGTCCACCCCCTGGCACACCACACCCACTCAGAGTCACCCACTCACTCACTCACAGAGTCACCCACTCAGAGTCACCCTCTCCTGCTGCTTCACCCTGCGCTCCTCCTCTGTCTGGAACAAGTCCACCCCCTGGCACACCACACACACACACAGAGTCACCCACTCAGAGTCACCCACACACAGAGTCACCCACTCAGAGTCACCCTCTCCTGCTGTTTCACCCTGCGCTCCTCCTCTGTCTGGAACAAGTCCACCCCCTGGCACACCACACACACACAGAGTCACCCACAGAGTCACCCACCCACAGAGTCACCCACTCAGAGTCACCCTCTCCTGCTGCTTCACCCTGCGCTCCTCCTCTGTCTGGAACAAGTCCACCCCCTGGCACACCACACACACACAGAGTCACCCACTCAGTCACCCACTCAGAGTCACCCACTCAGAGTCACCCACTCAGAGTCACCCTCTCCTGCTGCTTCACCCTGCGCTCCTCCTCTGTCTGGAACAAGTCCACCCCCTGGCACACCACACACACACAGAGTCACCCACTCACTCACTCACAGAGTCACCCACTCAGAGTCACCCTCTCCTGCTGTTTCACCCTGCGCTCCTCCTCTGTCTGGAACAAGTCCACCCCCTGGCACAGCACCACACACAGAGTCACCCACAGAGTCACCCACCCACAGAGTCACCCACTCAGAGTCACCCTCTCCTGCTGTTTCACCCTGCGCTCCTCCTCAGTCTGGAACAAGTCCACCCCCTGGTACAGCACACACACACAGAGTCACCCACACAGAGTCACCCACTCAGAGTCACCCTCTCCTGCTGCTTCACCCTGCGCTCCTCCTCTGTCTGGAACAAGTCCACCCCCTGGCACACCACACACACACAGAGTCACCCACTCAGAGTCACCCACACAGAGAGTCACCCACTGAGTCACCCACTCACCCACCCACAGAGTCACCCACTCAGAGTCACCCACTCAGAGTCACCCTCTCCTGCTGTTTCACCCTGCGCTCCTCCTCTGTCTGGAACAAGTCCACCCCCTGGTACACCACACACACACAGAGTCACCCACAGAGTCACCCACACACAGAGTCACCCACTCAGTCACTCACAGAGTCACCCACCCACAGAGTCACCCACTCAGAGTCACCCTCTCCTGCTGCTTCACCCTGCGCTCCTCCTCTGTCTGGAACAAGTCCACCCCCTGGCACACCACACACACTCAGAGTCACCCACAGAGTCACTCACTCAGAGAGTCACCCACTGAGTCACCCACTCACTCACTCACAGAGTCATCCACTCAGAGTCACCCTCTCCTGCTGCTTCACCCTGCGCTCCTCCTCTGTCTGGAACAAGTCCACCCCCTGGTACACCACACACACACACAGAGTCACCCACAGAGTCACTCACTCAGAGAGTCACCCACTGAGTCACCCACTCACCCACCCACAGAGTCACCCACTCAGAGTCACCCTCTCCTGCTGTTTCACCCTGCGCTCCTCCTCTGTCTGGAACAAGTCCACCCCCTGGTACACCACACACACACAGAGTCACCCACTCAGAGTCACCCTCTCCTGCTGTTTCACCCTGCGCTCCTCCTCTGTCTGAAACAAGTCCACCCCCTGGTACACCACACACACACAGAGTCACCCACAGAGTCACCCACACACAGAGTCACCCACTCAGTCACTCACAGAGTCACCCACCCACAGAGTCACCCACTCAGAGTCACCCTCTCCTGCTGCTTCACCCTGCGCTCCTCCTCTGTCTGGAACAAGTCCACCCCCTGGCACACCACACACACTCAGAGTCACCCACAGAGTCACTCACTCAGAGAGTCACCCACTGAGTCACCCACTCACTCACTCACAGAGTCATCCACTCAGAGTCACCCTCTCCTGCTGCTTCACCCTGCGCTCCTCCTCTGTCTGGAACAAGTCCACCCCCTGGTACACCACACACACACACAGAGTCACCCACAGAGTCACTCACTCAGAGAGTCACCCACTGAGTCACCCACTCACTCACTCACAGAGTCATCCACTCAGAGTCACCCTCTCCTGCTGTTTCACCCTGCGCTCCTCCTCAGTCTGGAACAAGTCCACCCCCTGGCACAGCACACACACAGAGTCACCCACAGAGTCACTCACAGAGTCACCCACTCACTCACAGAGTCACCCACAGAGTCACCCACTCAGAGTCACCCACTCAGAGTCACCCACTCAGAGTCACCCTCTCCTGCTGCTTCACCCTGCGCTCCTCCTCTGTCTGGAACAAGTCCACCCCCTGGCACAGCACACACACACAGAGTCACCCACAGAGTCACCCACACAGAGTCACCCACTCAGAGTCACCCTCTCCTGCTGCTTCACCCTGCGCTCCTCCTCTGTCTGGAACAAGTCCACCCCCTGGCACACCACCACCCACAGAGTCACCCACTCACTCACCCACAGAGTCACCCACAGAGTCACCCACTCAGAGTCACCCTCTCCTGCTGTTTCACCCTGCGCTCCTCCTCAGTCTGGAACAAGTCCACCCCCTGGCACACCAACACCCAACAAGTCCACCCACAGAGTCACCCACTCAGAGAGTCACCCACTCAGAGAGTCACCCACTCAGAGTCACCCACTCAGAGTCACCCACTCAGAGTCACCCACTCAGAGTCACCCACTCACTCACAGAGTCACCCACAGACTCACCCACTCAGAGAGTCACCCACTCACAGACTCTCTCACAGAGTCACCCACAGAGTCACCCACTCAGAGTCACTCACTCACAGAGTCACCCACAGAGTCACCCACTCAGAGTCACCCTCTCCTGCTGTTTCACCCTGCGCTCCTCCTCAGTCTGGAACAAGTCCACCCCCTGGCATACCACACACACACAGAGTCACCCACCCACAGAGTCACCCACTCAGAGAGTCACCCACACACAGAGTCACCCACCCACAGAGTCACCCACTCAGAGAGTCACCCACACACAGAGTCACCCACCCACAGAGTCACCCACTCAGAGAGTCACCCACACACAGAGTCACCCACTCACAGAGTCACCCCCTCACAGAGTCACCCACTCAGAGTCACCCACTCACCCAGAGTCACCCACTCACTCACAGAGTCACCCACTCACTCACAGAGTCACCCACTCACTCACTCACAGAGTCACCCACTCAGAGAGTCACCTACTCAGAGTCACCCTCTCAGAGTCACTCACTCACTCACAGAGTCACCCACTCACTCACAGAGTCACTCACTCACTCACAGAGTCACCCACTCAGTCACCCACTCAGTCACCCACTCAGTCACCCACTCACAGAGTCACTCACTCACAGAGTCACCCACCAAGACACTCAACGAGTCACCCACTCAGTCACCCACAGAGTCACCCACAGAGTCACCCACCAGGTAACCCACTCACTCACTCACTCACAGTCACCCACAGAGTCACCCACAGAGTCACCCACCCACTCACTCACAGTCACCCACAGAGTCACCCACATAGTCACCCACAGAGTCACCCACCAGGTAACCCACCCACTCACTCAGTCACCCACAGAGTCACCCGCCAGGTAACCCACCCACTCACCCACAGAGTCACCCACAGAGTCACCCACAGAGTCACCCACTCACCGCTCCCGAATGGATGGTCAAAGTTAGACTCCTGCTTGCTTTGAGGATAGCCACAGCCTGAAACAACATCAACAACATCATCAACAACATCATCATCAACATCATCATCATCAACATCATCAACATCATCATCGACATCATCAACAACATCATCATCATCAACAACATCATCAACATCATCATCATCATCATCAACATCATCAACATCATCGTGAATATCTACATCATCGACATCATCAACAACATCATCATCATCAACAACATCACCATTGTCATCAGCAATATCATCAACATCATCATCAACATCATCATCAACATCATCATCATCATCAACATGATCATCATCATCAACATCATCACCATTGTCATCAGCAATATCATCATCATCAACATCATCATCAACGTCATCATCATCATTGTCATCATCAACATCATCACCATTGTCATCAGCAATATCATCATCATCAACGTCATCATCACCATTGTCATCAGCAACATCATCAACATCATCATCAACATCATCATCAACAACAATTCATCAACATGATCATCAACATCATCATGATCATCATCGTCAACATCATCACCATTTTGATTTAAAGCTTTCGTGACTGCAGTAATTCATATTCTTAGTTTTTTCGGTAAAGTCACGTTGAAGAGAAACAACAAAATAACAAAATATATATAAAACAATAAAAAATTCTCACGACGTTTCGACCATAACTCAAACGGTCATCATCAGGTGTGTCGGTTTGCATAAATTTATTTTGAAAACGGCATATTTATTTATTTATATATATTAAAAAATAACGTTTGCGTCACGCGCAACGATTGGCAGTTTGCCAGGACTAGTCCATCTATTTTTTGAAAAGAGGAGGGGGGAGACGAAATTTGTTTTTATGTATGCTGTCTGAAAGCCACTGTAAGCGTGAACAATCAATCAAGAACTGAAATGATTTATCAAATCTTTCCAATGATTGCTAAGATAGAATCCATCTTCTCGGTTGAAATTGTCTCTGTGCTTGTATATGTGGATAGCCTCATGAACGAATCTCTCATGGAAGCCAGATGGCTTACAAAGAACCTCCGTCTTGGAAAAGTCAATGGCATGTGAGCCTACTGAATTAGAACAATGATCTGCTACGGCCGAGGTGTTGGTCCTACCGTGTTTAAGGTCTGCTTTATGTTCACGAATGCGGTCCGAGATATGGCGTTTGGTTTCTCCAATGTAACTACTACCACAGAGGCAACTTAGTTTGTAGACACCAGGGTATTGTATGTCCGGAATCACATCTTTTACAGACGGAACCAGATCACGGATTTTATGTAATGTGTTGAAACGGACCTGGATCTTGTGTTTATTCAAGATTTTGGAGATCTTTTTTGTGATCCCAGCAATGTAGGGTAAAGTGATGGTTTTGAAAGGCTCCTCAAGAGGGTTTTTCTTCATGGTTTGAGTGATAGCTTTGCGGATTGTATAGTCGGAGTAACCATTAGCCCTAAGAGCTTGGTGTACGTGCTTGAGTTCACCTCTTCGTCCCATAGTCTCTACTATCAGCTCCCCCACCTACAAACTAGCTCGTTTTTTGTCTGAAATCCTGCGTCCTTTCACTGGAAAAACCACCTCTGCGGTACAAAATTCTACTCACCTGGTATCAACAATCAAGGGTATTTCCCTGTCCCCAGACGACCTGCTTGTCAGTTTTGATGTAGTTTCCTTATTCACCAAGGTTCCTGTACCTGACACCATTGCAATCATTGAAGACTTGGTTCATCAAGGACTAAACACTGAGGTACCCCCCCTGGTGAGACACTGTTTAACCAATACATACTTCACTTGGAATGGAACTTTCTACAAACAAACTGAGGGCACCCCAATGGGCTCCCCCCTTTCTCCAGTTATAGCTAACATTTTCATGGAGAAATTTGAGACTGACGCCATCCAGACTGCCACTCTGCGCCCAACCTTATGGAAGAGGTACGTGGATGACACTTTTGTCATCTGGCCACATGGCCGGCCTGCTCTAGACCAATTCTTCGACCACATCAATTCCATACACCCAGCCATCAGATTTACCATGGAAGTCGAAATAGATGGCAAGATACCTTTTTTGGATGTCCTAATTAAAAAGAGACCTGATGGTTCAATGAGCCACTCTGTCTACAGGAAAGCTACCCATACGGATGCTTATCTGAAACCGGATTCCCACCACCATCCATCACAGAAGAATTCTCTCATCAAGACTCTGTATCATAGAGCCCAATGCATATCCGACCAGGAACACATAAGCAGTGAACTCAAGCACGTACACCAAGCTCTTAGGGCTAATGGTTACTCCGACTATACAATCCGCAAAGCTATCACTCAAACCATGAAGAAAAACCCTCTTGAGGAGCCTTTCAAAACCATCACTTTACCCTACATTGCTGGGATCACAAAAAAGATCTCCAAAATCTTGAATAAACACAAGATCCAGGTCCGTTTCAACACATTACATAAAATCCGTGATCTGGTTCCGTCTGTAAAAGATGTGATTCCGGACATACAATACCCTGGTGTCTACAAACTAAGTTGCCTCTGTGGTAGTAGTTACATTGGAGAAACCAAACGCCATATCTCGGACCGCATTCGTGAACATAAAGCAGACCTTAAACACGGTAGGACCAACACCTCGGCCGTAGCAGATCATTGTTCTAATTCAGTAGGCTCACATGCCATTGACTTTTCCAAGACGGAGGTTCTTTGTAAGCCATCTGGCTTCCATGAGAGATTCGTTCATGAGGCTATCCACATATACAAGCACAGAGACAATTTCAACCGAGAAGATGGATTCTATCTTAGCAATCATTGGAAAGATTTGATAAATCATTTCAGTTCTTGATTGATTGTTCACGCTTACAGTGGCTTTCAGACAGCATACATAAAAACAAATTTCGTCTCCCCCCTCCTCTTTTCAAAAAATAGATGGACTAGTCCTGGCAAACTGCCAATCGTTGCGCGTGACGCAAACGTTATTTTTAATATATATAAATAAATAAATATGCCGTTTTCAAAATAAATTTATGCAAACCGACACACCTGATGATGACCGTTTGAGTTATGGTCGAAACGTCGTGAGAATTTTTTATTGTTTTATATATATTTTGTTATTTTGTTGTTTCTCTTCAACGTGACTTTACCGAAAAAACTAAGAATATCATCACCATTGTCATCAGCAATATCATCAACATCATCAACATCATCATCAACATCATCATCAACAACAACATCATCAACATGATCATCAACATCATCATGATCATCATCAGCAATATCATCACCATTGTCATCAGCAATATCATCACCATTATCATCAGCAATATCATCACCATTGTCATCAGCAATATCATCACCATTGTCATCAGCAATATCATCATCAACTATTCGTGGACCCAGCCACACGGCCACCATGAGTCTCACCTCTCTGTGGTCAATGTGTGTGAAGTCGATGCCATTGACTTCCACCACCTGGTCACCCACCTGCAGAACAGACGTGGGCACTCACTCACCTGCTCACCAGGTCCCTCACCACATCCCTCACCACGTCGCTCACCCATTCACCCGCTCGCCCACTCACTCACTCACTCACATACTCACTCACCGAATTAGTCATTCACTTACTCAGTCAACCACCCACACACACACTCACTAACTCACTCACCCACCTACTCATTCACTCATCCACTCACTCACCCACGCACTTAGTCACTCGGTCACTAAATCACCCACCCACTCACCCATCCTTTGAGTTAGTGGGTTGGTGAGTGGGTGAGTGAGTGAGTGGGTGAGTGAGTGAGTGAGTGGGTGAGTGAGTGGGTGAGTGGGTGAGTGAGTGGGTGAGTGAGTGAGTGGGTGAGTGAGTGAGTGGGTGAGTGAGTGAGTGAGTGGGTGAGTGGGTGAGTGAGTGGGTGAGTGAGTGGGTGAGTGAGTGAGTGGGTGAGTGAGTGGGTGAGTGAGTGGGTGAGTGGGTGAGTTAGTGGGTGAGTGGGTGAGTGAGTGGGTGAGTGAGTGAGTGGGTGAGTGAGTGAGTGGGTGGGTGAGTGAGTGAGTGGGTGAGTGAGTGAGTGAGTGGGTGGGTGGGTGAGTGAGTGGGTGAGTGAGTGGGTGAGTGGGTGAGTGAGTGGGTGAGTGAGTGAGTGGGTGAGTGGGTGAGTAGGTGAGTAAGTGAGTGAGTGAGTGGGTGAGTGAGTGAGTGAGTGGGTGGGTGAGTGAGTGAGTGGGTGAGTGAGTGGGTGAGTGAAGAGTGGGTGAGTGAGTGGGTGAGTGGGTGAGTGCGTGAGTGGGTGAGTGAGTGAGTGAGTGGGTGAGCTACTCACCTCGAGTCCCACCTCGGCCGACACGGATGCTGGCTTCACGCTGCTGATGAAGATGCCCGGGCTGTGGGGCGGACCGCTGGACACGCTGAGCCCAAAGACAAAGACAAAAGTCCCCCAGGTAGCGTCTAACAAACTGTCAGGGCAAGTGTTGACAGTAGCAAGTACCAGCAGCACCGACACGACCACCGTGAACTCAGCCACACGACCACCGTGAACTCAGCCACACGTCCACCGTGAACTCAGCCACACGACCACCGTGAACTCAGCCACACGTCCGTCATGAACCTGCATCCCATGCCGTGGTTGCCCATGAGGCTGATGAAGATTTTCTTCTCTCGCTGATCCCACTGCTCAGAGTTGGAGTGCAGCCCGGCCAGGCTGCTGCCCTCGTCCTAGAGAGGGTGGGAGACACGGGGGAGACACGGGGAGACACGGGGAGACACGGGGAGACACGGGGAGACACGGGTGAGACACGGGGAGACACGGGGAGACACGGGGAGACACGGGTGAGACACGGGGAGACACGGGGAGACACGGGGAGACACGGGGAGACACGCCGGGAGACACGGGGAGACACGGGGAGACACGGGGAGACACGGGTGAGACACGGGGAGACACGGGGAGACACGGGGAGACACGGGTGAGACACGGGGAGACACGGGGAGACACGCCGGGAGACACGGGGAGACACGGGTGAGACACAGGGAGACACAGGGAGACACGGGGAGACACGGGGAGACACAGGGAGACACGGGGAGACACGGGGAGACACGGGTGAGACACGGGGAGACACGGGTGAGACACAGGGAGACACGGGTGAGACACGGGGAGACACAGGGAGACACGGGGAGACACGGGGAGACACGGGTGAGACACAGGGAGACACGGGGAGACACGGAGAGACACGGGGAGACACGGGGAGAGACGGGGAGAGACAGGGTGAGACACGGAGAGACACGGGGAGACACGCCAGGAAACACGACGGGAGACACGGGGAGACACGGGGAGACAGGGTGAGACACAGTGAGACAAGCCGGGAGACACGGGGAGACACGGGGAGACACGCCGAGAGACACGGGGAGACACGGGGAGACACGGGGAGACACGCCGAGAGACACGGGGAGACACGGGGAGACAAGTCTGGAGACACAGGGAGACACAGGGAGACACGGGGAGACACGGGGAGACACGGGGAGACACGCCGAGAGACACGGGGAGACGCGGGGAGACAAGCTGGGAGACACGGGGAGACACGGGGAGACACGGGGAGACACGGAGAGACACGCCAGGAGACACGGAGAGACACGCCGGGAGACACGGGGAGACACGCCGGGAGACACGGGGAGACACGCCGGGAGACACGGGGAGACATGGGGAGACACGCCGGGAGACACGGGGAGACACGCCGGGAGACACGGGGAGACACGCCGGGAGACCCGGGGAGACACGGGGAGACACGCCGGGAGACACGGGGAGACACGCCGGGAGACACGGGGAGACACGCCGGGAGACACGGAGAGACACGCCGGGAGACACGGGGAGACATGGGGAGACACGCCGGGAGACACGGGGAGACACGCCGGGAGACACGGGGAGACACGCCGGGAGACACGGAGAGACACGCCGGGAGACACGGGGAGACACGCCGGGAGACACGGGGAGACACGCCGGGAGATACGGGGAGACATGGGGAGACACGCCGGGAGACACGGGGAGACACGCCGGGAGACACGGGGAGACACGCCGGGAGACACGGAGAGACACACGGAGAGACACGCCGGGAGACACGGGGAGACATGGGGAGACACGCCGGGAGACACGGGGAGACACGCCGGGAGACACGGAGAGACACGCCGGGAGACACGGGGAGACATGGGGAGACACGCCGGGAGACACGGGGAGACACGCCGGGAGACACGGAGAGACACGGGGAGACACGCCGGGAGACACGGAGAGACACGGGGAGACACGCCGGGAGACACGGAGAGACACGGGGAGACACGGGGAGACACGCCGGGAGACACGCCGGGAGACACGGGGAGACACGGGGAGACACGGGGAGACACGGGGAGACACGCCGGGAGACACGCCGGGAGACACGGAGAGACACGCCGGGAGACACGGAGAGACACGGGGAGACACGGGGAGACACGGGGAGACACGCCGGGAGACACGCCGGGAGACACGGAGAGACACGCCGGGAGACACGGAGAGACACACCGGGAGACACGGGGAGACACGCCGGGAGACACGGGGAGACACGCCGGGAGACACGGAGAGACACACCGGGAGACACGGGGAGACACGGAGAGACACGGGGAGACACGGGGAGACACGCCGGGAGACACGGAGAGACACGGGGAGACACGGGGAGACACGGGGAGACACGCCGGGAGACACGGGGAGACACGGGGAGACATAGTGAGACACGGGGAGACACGCCGGGAGACACGGGGAGACACGGGGAGACACGGGGAGACACGGAGAGACACGGGGAGACACGGGGGAGACACGGGGAGACACGGGGAGACACGCCAGGAGACACGGGGAGACACGGGGAGACACGGGGAGACACGGGGAGACACGCCAGGAGACACGAGGGGAGACACGTGGGGGTGACACGTGGGGGGTGACACGTGTGAGGGTGACACATGTGAAGGTGAGACGTGTGAGGGTGACACGTGTCAGGGTGACACGTGTCAGGGTGACACGTGGGGGGTGACACGTGTGAGGGTGACACGTGTGAGGGTGACACGTGTCAGGGTGACACGTGGGGGGTGACACGTGTGGGGGTGACACGTGTGAGGGTGACACGTGTCAGGGTGACACGTGTCAGGGTGACACGTGGGGGGTGACACGTGTGAGGGTGACACGTGTGAGGGTGACACGTGTGAGGGTGACACGTGTGAGGGTGACTCCTCACCCCGTCCTGGGACACCAGCTGGTCCACAAACTGCCACGTCAGCGGATCCTCAACAGAGCTACAATCACAACAACAACAACGTCAACAACAACCACGTCAACAACAATCACAACAACAACGTCAACAACAACAACCACAACAACAACAACCACAACAACAACAACCACAACAACAACCACAACAACGTCAACAACAATCACAACAACAACGTCAACAACAACGTCAACAACAACGTCAACAACAACGTCAACAACAACGTCAACAACAACAACAACGTCAACAACAACCACAACAACCACGTCAACAACAACCACAACAACCACAACAGCCACGTCAACAACAATCACAACAACAACAACGTCAACAACAATCACATCAACAACAACAACGTCAACAACAACAACCACAACAACAACAACGTCAACAACAACAACGTCAACAACAACAACCACAACAACAACAACGTCAACAACAACAACGTCAACAACAACAACGTCAACAACAACCACAACAACGTCAACAACAACAACCACAACAACAACAACGGCAACAACAACCACAACAACCACGTCAACAACCACAACAACAACCACGTCAACAACAACCACAACCACGTCAACAACAACCACAACCACGTCAACAACAACCACAACAACAACAACGTCAACAACAACCACAACAACCACGTCAACAACAATCACAACAACCACAACAACCACGTCAACAACAATCACAACAACAACCAAAACAAACACAACAACAACGTCAACAACAACCACAACAACCACATCAACAACAACCACAACAACCACAACAACCACAACAACCACGTCAACGACGTGTGTGTGTACGTGTGTGTGTGTGTACGTGTGTGTGTGTACGTGTGTGTGTGTACGTGTGTGTGTACGTGTGTGTGTAACTCTGTCGTGGACAGTGCTGTGGCGGGAGATCCAATTTTGATTGGCTCCTCCTCTCATGGCATATGTGTCCACCACAGGGGCTAAACGGGGGCTCTGGACGGGTGCGAGGGGCTGGTAACCCCTCCACCTTCAATTAATTACCACGAAACCACGAGTTAAATTGAAATATGTAACTAATAAGCTTGTGCCGGAGGCCCCGGGGGGCCAGGCGTCTATGACGTCTCCTGGCCAAACCCCAATTGGCGGAGCCAGGAGATTGAATACCTACCCTCGGGGCTACTCCAGAAACAACGAAAAGCCACTACGGGTGGCCACGTGGAATGTTCGAACGCTCACTGCGGAGGAGAGGCTGCCACTCCTCTGTCGGGAGCTGGACCGGTACTGCCTGGATCTATGCGGCATTCAGGAGGTCCGGTGGACCGGCTCTGGCTCCTGCCACCATGAGGGGTGGACAGTCCTCTACTCGGGGCAGCAGCTTGCCAAACAACAGGGTGTGGCTCTTCTTTTGAATAAAAGAATGAAAGGGGCGTGGGAGCATGGCTGTGAGGTGTGGGAGCTGTAAGCCCCAGGCTACTTTGGGCTCGCCTTCCCATCAACCGGAGGCGAGGAATGGTGGTCGTGGTTACTTATGCCCCCACCGAAGATGAACATCCGTGGAGGGATGCAGGCAAAGCCGATGAGTCAGATGCCTTCTATGACCTCCTGTCACAGGTGCTGGCTAAAGTGGCCCCTTGGGATAGAGTCATCATGTTGGGTGACTTCAATGCCCGAGTTGGTCATGATACTGGCACCTGGTCTAGAGTGATTGGAGGGCATGGGCCAGATCAGCTCAGTAACAACGGTAGGAGGCTGCTAGATTTTTGTGCAGCCCATGGGCTTGTAATTACCAACACGCTGTTCCGGCATCGGCGCATCCACACAACATCATGGATGCATGCCGGGTCCAAGCAAGAACATCTGCTGGACTACATAGTGACGGACCAGCGGATGCGAGCCCATGTCCTTGACACCAGGACCTACCGTGGAGTTGATCTGCCCTCTGACCATCGACTAGTCATCTGTAAGATGCGCCTGCCATTCTTCCACTCCGGTGGTGGGTGTACACCCAGGACCCCATTCCGACCTAAAGTGGCCTGGTCTCAGTTATCTGATGAAAGTTGCAAGCGAGAATTTCATCATCGCTTGCGGCTGGGATTGGCATCGTCCCCGACTCCTCCTGATGTCGAGGGTAAATGGGCGAGGTTTAGGACTGTGACTCATGCAGCTGCTATGGCTGCTTTGGGTACGCGGTCCAGACCTCCCCAGAGACCCTGGCTGACAGAGGAGGTGTTCAGGATGGTTGAGAAAAAGCGACATGCCCACTGCCATCGGCTACAGAATCCCACGTCAGAGAATGAAGAGGCTTACCGCAGCCTTCGCTCGGAGGTTCGGAGAGCCGTGAGGCGCTGTAAGGATGGGTGGTGGTCGCGGGTTGCTGAGGAGATGGAGTCTGCCTCCGTGGCCCGTGATCACAAATCTCTATTTAACTCCATCAAAAAAGTAACCTGCAGCACCACACCTATAACCATCATTAGGGGAAAAAACGGTGATCCAATCTCCGACCCCCAGGAACAGGTTTGCAGATTTGCTGAGCATTTCTGTGAGGTCCTGGGGGAGGGAAAATCCCTCAACCAGGAAAACATCGTGGCACACAGTGAGGATGACCCTGCTGAGGCTGCGGTGCCTCAAATATTGGAAGAAGTCACCCCCTGTGAATGGCTGGCTGAGGTGCCATCTGTTGAGGAAGTACTGAAGGCGATCCGGAGTCTGAGACCAGGAAAGGCAGCGGGCAGAGATGATCTCCCAAGCGAAATGCTGAGGGAGGGTGGCGTTTGTGCACAGACTGCCCTATATGACATCATAACAACAGTCTGGACCACTGGACGGGTTCCGCAGGATTGGAAGGATGCCCTGGTGGTCCCCCTTTTTAAGAAGGGGGACCGCACAGACTGTAACAACTACAGGGGCATCTCACTCCTCAGTGTGCCAGGAAAGGTCCTGGCAAGGATTATTCAGCATCGACTTGCCAGGCACGCTGAGGAGAGGCTTGCGGAGCCCCAATGCGGTTTCAGGATAGGGCGGTCTTGCACAGATGCCATATTTTCTGTCCGTCTGCTACAGCAGAGGTGTAGGGAATTCCAACAAGACCTACATCTCTGCTTTATTGACCTGGTCAAGGCCTATGATACCATCAGTAGGCCTGGGCTCTGGGTCATTCTTCGTGCTTTTGGAGTACCTGACCCTCTGCTCATGATCATTAAGGACCTTCATGATGGTGAGCGGGCCCGGGTAAAACTACGTGGCCGGGAGTCAGAGCCATTCCCTGTACACCTTGGGGTGCGACAGGGATGTCCTCTGGCTCCCACATTATTTAACATCTATTTTGACCACGTAGTTCGTGAAGCCTTCAATAGCTGTATCGGGGGAATCTCCATTTGGTACAGATATAATGAGAGGCTGATCGATGCCCGGGTGCGGTCAAGGGATGGCTCCCTATTGCTCAACCACGTTATGTATGCCGATGATTTGGTAATAGCTGCTCAGTCAGAGGAGGAGTTGGAGACGCTGCTGCTGAGACTGGAGCGTGCCACTAAGAGGTGGGGCCTTACCATCAGCCCCACCAAAACTAAGCACCTGCCTGGGTATTTTGTACCATCGGACACTCCACCCCCACAACTCCCGATCGGTGATGGGGCAGTTGTGGAGAGAGTGGAGAGTTTCCCATACCTGGGCAGTGTGCTTATGACTGGCTCAAGTTTAACAGCAGAGGTCTCACTCCGAATCAGTCGAGCGGCAATATCTTTTCATCGGTTGCGTAACGCTGTGTGGAAGCTAGCTGGTCTGTCACTCCGCACTAAGCTTCAGGTCTTCTCGGCCACGGTCATTCCCTCCCTTCTCTACGCTTGCGAAACGTCGACCCCCCTAATGGAACATCTTCGCCGGTTAGAAACATTTAGGGTGGCCTGCCTACGATCCATCCTGGGTTTAACCAGACTGGATTGTGTGAGGAGCTCACAAATCCTTGAAAGATCTGGGCAAGGTCCCATCGGTGAGCTCCTCCGGCGGGCAAGGCTGCGATGGCTGGGTCATGTAGCCCGCATGCCCAGCCACCGCATGCCGAAACAGCTTTTGTTCGGCCGGATTGAGGGGGCAAAGCAGGCGCGGCACGGGCTAGAGAAGAGATGGATTGATGTGGTACAGGAGGACGTGGAGCTTAGTGGACTTGCCGATGACTGGTACCAGCGGTGTCAAGATCGGCCTCTGTGGAGGAGGCTGGTGAAGGATGCTACTGGGCAGTTGGAGGTAGTCGCCCTCCAACAACAACGGAGGGCGGAGGAGCGACGCTCACAACAATGAGCGGAGCGCCGGGTGGCTAAAGCACAGCAGGTTGGCACAGTAGGGGGCACAGGTGGTGCATCAGCCAGTCATCTCAGTCAGTCGACCCGTGGCACCTGGGTCTGCCCCGTGACCTCCTGCCAGCGGGCGTTCGACACTTCACGTGGCCTCAGGGTGCACATAGCCTGGCACAAGCGTCGTGGTGACGTCACCGCCACTTAGTGGCGAATGGCGGTTGTTGTTGTTGTTGTTGTGTACGTGTGTGTGTACGTGTGTGTGTCTGTGTGTGTGTGTACATGTGTGTGTACGTGTGTGTGTCTGTGTGTGTGTGTACGTGTGTGCGTGTCTGTGTGTGTGTATCTGTGTGTGTGTCTGTGTGTGTGCGTGTCTGTGTGTGCGTGTCTGTATGTGTACGTGTGTGCGTGTCTGTGTGTGTGTATCTGTGTGTGTGCCTGTATGTCTGTGTGTGTGCGTGTCTGTGTGTGTGTCTGTGTGTGTACGTGTGTGTATGTGTGTGTGTGTCTGTGTGTGTGTGTACGTGTGTGTGTGTGTCTGTGTACGTGTGATGTACTCACTTTTTCACTGGTATCATCCCAACATCTATAAAATAAACACACACACGTACACACACACACATACACACACATATACACACGTACACACACACATACACACACATATATACACACGTACACACACACATACACACACATACACACACATACACACGTACACACGCACACACGTACACACACACATACACTCACACGTACACAGACACACGTATTAATACAAACAGTCCATGCTAACCGGTAAACGGTCCTGGGCCTCAAATGAGTACCTGGTGTAGTGGTGGTGTGGTGTAGTGGTGGTGTAGTGGTGGTGGTGTAGTGGTGGTGGTGTAGTGGTGGTGGTGTCGTGAATATCCCTAGCACTGGGGGAGAGACAAAGGCGGCCGGGCGTGGTGGTGCTGGCCACCCACCCCCTCTTTGTGTGACCCACAGTGGCCGGTAGCCTTCATAGGTGGTGCTACTAGCAGCACTTGCCCCTACAGCCCTGCTAGAGGCTACACGGGGGATCTTTGTCTGTGTATAGGTGCTGCTGCTACTCGCTACTAACAGCACTTGCCCCTACAGCCCTGTTAGAGGCTACACGAGGGATCTTTGTCTGTGTATAGGTGCTGCTGCTACTCGCCACTAACAGCACTTGCCCCTACAGCCCTGCTAGAGGCTACACGGGGGATCTTTGTCTGTGTATAGGTGCTGCTGCTACTCGCCACTAACAGCACTTGCCCCTACACCCCTGATAGAGGCTACACGGGGGAGCTTTGTCCTGTGGGAGTGTGTGGGTGTGTGTGTGTGTGGGTGTGTGTGTGGGTGTGTGTGGGTGTGTGTGCGTGTGTGTGGGTGTGTCTGTGTGTGTGTGGTGTGAGGTCTCACTCCGAATCAGTCGAGCGGCAATATCTTTTCATCGGTTGCGTAACGCTGTGTGGAAGCTACCTGGTCTGTCGCTCCGCACTAAGCTTCAGGTCTTCTCGGCCACGGTCATTCCCTCCCTTCTCTACGCTTGCAAAACGTGGACCCCCCTAATGGAACATCTTCGCCGGTTAGAAACATTTAGGCTGGCCTGCCTACGATCCATCCTGGGTTTAACCTGCAGGCTGGATTGCGTGAGGAGCTCACAAATCCTTGAAAGATCTGGGCAAGGTCCCATCGGTGAGTTCTTCCGGCAGGCAAGGCTGCGTTGGCGTATGTGTATGTGTACACTGTGTGTGTGTGTGTACACTGTGTGTGTGTACACTGTGTGTGTGTACACTGTGTGTGTGCGTACACTGTGTGTGTGTACACTATGTGAGTGTACACTGTGTGTGTGTGTACACTGTGTGTGTGTACACTGTGTGTGTACACTGTGTGTATACACTGTGTGTGTGTACACTGTGTGTGTGTGTACACTGTGTGTACACTGTGTGAGTGTACACTGTGTGAGTGTACACTGTGTGAGTGTACACTGTGTGTGTACACTGTGTGTGTGTACACTGTGTGTGTACACTGTGTGTGTGTACACTGTGTGTGTACACTGTGTGTGTGTGTACACTGTGTGTGTACACTGTGTGTGTGTGTACACTGTGAGTGTGTGTACACTATGTGTATACACTGTGTGTGTGTGTATACACTGTGTGTGTGTACACTGTGTGTGTGTACACTGTGTGTGTGTGTGTACACTGTGTGTACACTGTGTATGTACACTATGAGTGTGTGTACACTGTGTGTGTACACTGTGTGTGTGTACACTGTGTGTACACTATGTGTGTGTACACTGTGTGTGTACTGTGTGTACACTGTGTGTGTGTACACTGTGTGTACACTGTGTGTGTACACTATGAGTGTGTGTACACTGTGTGTGTGTACACTGTGTGTGTGTACACTGTGTGTGTACACTGTGTGTACACTGTGTGTGTGTACACTATGAGTGTGTGTACACTGTGTGTGTGTACACTGTGTGTGTACACTGTGTGTGTGTGTACTGTGTGTGCACTATGAGTGTACACTGTGTGTGTGTATACTATGAGTGTATGTACACTGTGTGTGTGTACACTGTGTGTGTGTACACTGTGTGTACACTATGAGTGAGTGTACACTGTGTGTGTGTGTACACTGTGTGTGTACACTATATGAGTGTGTACACTCTATGAGTGTGTACACTATATGAGTGTGTACACTGTGTGTGTGTACACTGTGTGTGTGTACACTGTGTGTGTACACTGTGTGTGTACACTGTGTGTGTGTACACTGTGTGTACACTGTGTGTACACTGTGTGTGTGTACACTGTGTGTGTGTACACTGTGTGTGTGTACACTGTGTGTACACTGTGTGTGTGTACACTGTGTGTACACTATGAGTGTACACTGTGTGTGTGTACTCACGCCGCACTTTGAGGGCGACGCTGCGACGAGCCCGCATGAGGCTGAGCACCTCGTCGTGCGTGCACGAGGCCACGGAGAAGCCATTCACACGCACCACCTCGTCACCCACCTGCACACACACACAGTGTACACACATAGTGTACACAGTGTACACACACACAGTGTACACACACACAGTGTACACACACAGTGTACACACACACACAGTGTACACACAGTGTACACACACAGTGTACACACACACAGTGTACACACAGTATACACACACAGTGTACACACACACAGTGTACACACACACAGTGTACACACACACAGTGTACACACATAGTGTACACACAGTGTACACACACACAGTGTACACACACAGTGTACACACACACACAGTGTACACACAGTGTACACACACACAGTGTACACACAGTGTACACACACAGTGTACACACACAGTGTACACACACAGTGTACACACTCACAGTGTACACACACACACAGTGTACACACACAGTGTACACACAGTGTACACACACAGTGTACACACACACACACAGTGTACACACACACACAGTGTACACACACACAGTGTACACACACACACAGTGTACACACACACACAGTGTACACACACAGTGTACACACACACACAGTGTACACACACACACACACAGTGTACACACACACAGTGTACACACAGTGTACACACACACAGTGTACACACACACAGTGTACACACACACACAGTGTACACACACAGTGTACACACACACAGTGTACACACACACAGTGTTCACACACACACAGTGTACACACACTCACAGTGTACACACAGTGTACACACACAGTGTACACACACACAGTGTACACACACACACACAGTGTACACACACACACAGTGTACACACAGTGTACACACACACACAGTGTACACACACACAGTGTACACACAGTGTACACACACACACAGTGTACACACACAGTGTACACACACCCACACACCCACACACCCTCCCACCCTCCCACACACCCACACACCCTCCCACCCACAAACCCTCCCACCCACAAACCCACCCACCCTCCCACCGTCCCATACACCCATCCACCCACCCTCCCTCCCACCCACTCACCCTCCCACCCACACACCCTCCCACCCACCCACACACCCACCCACCCACAAACCCACCCACCCTCCCACCGTCCCATACACCCATCCACCCACCCTCCCTCCCACCCACCAAATCACTCACGCAATCCTCCCTCCCACAGGGGTAGACACACGGGGGGGGGGGGGTACACGAGGGGGTAGTGTGCTAGGGGGTAGTGGTGAGCTAGGGGGTAGTGAGCTAGGGGGTAGTGAGCTAGGGGGTAGTGGTGAGCTAGGGGGTAGTAGTGAGCTAGGGGGTAGTGGTGAGCTAGGGGGTAGGGGTGATCTAGGGGGTAGTGAGCTAGGGGTACGGGTGATCTAGGGGGTAGTGGTGATCTAGGGGGTAGTGGTGATCTAGGGGGTAGTGACCTAGGGGGTAGTGGTGATCTAGGGGGTAGTGGTGATCTAGGGGGTAGTGGTGATCTAGGGGGTAGTGAGCTAGGGGGTAGTGAGCTAGGGGGTAGTGAGCTAGGGGTAGGGGTGAGCTAGGGGGTAGTGAGCTAGGGGTACGGGTGAGCTAGGGGGTAGTGAGCTAGGGGGTAGTGGTGAGCTAGGGGGTAGTGAGCTAGGGGGTAGTGAGCTAGGGGTAGTGAGCTAGGGGGTAGTAGTGAGCTAGGGAGTAGTGAGCTAGGGGGTAGTAGTGAGCTAGGGGGTAGTGAGCTAGGGGGTAGTGAGCTAGGTGGTAGTGAGCTAGGGGGTAGTGAGCGAGGGGGTAGTGAGCTAGGGGGTAGTGAGCTAGGGAGTAGTGAGCGAGGGGGTAGTGAGCTAGGGGGTAGGGGTGAGCTAGGGGGTAGTGGTGAGCGAGGGGGTAGTGAGCTAGGGGGTAGTGAGCTAGGGGGTAGTGAGCGAGGGGGTAGTGAGCTAGGGGGTAGTGGTGAGCGAGGGGGTAGTGAGCTAGGGGGAGGTGAGCTAGGGGGTAGTGAGCTAGGGGGTAGTGAGCTAGGGGGTAGTGGTGAGCTAGGGGGTAGTAGTGGTGAGTGAGGGGGTAGTGAGCTAGGGGGTAGTGAGCTAGGGAGTAGTGAGCTAGGGGGTAGTGGTGAGCTAGGGGGTAGTAGTGGTGAGCGAGGGGGTAGTAGCGGTGAGCGAGGGGGTAGTAGTGGTGAGCTAGGGGGTAGTGGTAAGCGAGGGGGTAGTAGTGATGAGCGAGGGGGTAGTAGTGAGCTAGGGGGTAGTAGTGAGCTAGGGGGTAGTAGTGGTGAGCGAGGGGGTAGTAGTGGTGAGCGAGGGGGTAGTAGTGGTGAGCTAGGGGGTAGTGAGCTAGGGGGTAGTGAGCTAGGGGGTAGTGAGCTAGGGGGTAGTGAGCTAGGGGGTAGTGAGCTAGGGGTAGGGGTGAGCGAGGGGGTAGTAGTGGTGAGCGAGGGGGTAGTAGTGAGCTAGGGGGTAGTGAGCGAGGGGGTGGTGGTGAGCGAGGGGGTAGTGAGCTAGGGGGTAGTGAGCTAGGGGGTAGTGAGCTAGGGGGTAGTGAGCTAGGGGGTAGTGGTGAGCTAGGGGGTAGTGAGCTAGGGGGTAGTGAGCGAGGGGGTAGTGGTGAGCTAGGGGGCAGTGGTGAGCTAGGGGGTAGTGAGCTAGGGGTTAAGTAGTGGTGAGCTAGGGTGTAGTAGTGGTGAGCTAGGGTGTAGCAGTGGTGAGCTAGGGGGTAGTGAGCTAGGGGGTAGTGAGCTAGTGAGCTAGGGGGTAGTGAGCTAGGGGGTAGTAGTGGTGAGCTAGGGGGTAGTGGTGAGCTAGGGGGTAGTGGTGAGCTAGGTGTTAGTGAGCGAGGGGGTAGTGATGAGCTAGGGGGTAGTGGTGAGCTAGGGGGTAGTGGTGAGCTAGGGGGTAGTAGTGGTGAGCTAGGGGGTAGTGAGCTAGGGGGTAGTGAGCTAGGGGGTAGTGGTGAGCTAGGGGGTAGTAGTGGTGAGCTAGGGGGTAGTAGTGGTGAGCTAGGGGTAGGGGTGAGCTAGGGGGTAGTAGTGGTGAGCTAGGGGGTAGTAGTGGTGAGCTTGGGGTAGTGGTGAGCTAGGGGGTAGTGAGCTAGGGGGTAGTAGTGGCGAGCGAGGGGTTAGTGAGCTAGGGGGTAGTGGTGGTGAGCTAGGGGGTAGTGGTGAGCTAGGGGGTAGTGAGCTAGGGGGTAGTAGTGGTGAGCTAGGGGGTAGTGGTGGTGTCGAGCGAGGGGGTTACCTGTATAGAGGCAGCGTGGGCCTGCCCGCCACGCACTACCTGTGCCACGTAGACCCCACAGCCCAGCTCCGCTCCACCCCTCACACTGAGGCCCAGACCCTCGGGGTGAGTCCGCTCCAGCCTCACCTCTCTCACCCTACTGCCTCACCACCACCATCACCATGACAACCAGCACCACCATCACCACCACCGTCACCGTGACAACCAGCACCACCGTCACCATGGGTACCAGCACCGTCATCACCACCACCATCACCGTGACAACCAGCACCGCCATCACCGTAACTACCAGCACCGTCATCACCACCACCACCACCGTGACTACCAGCACCACCATCACCATGGCTACCACCATCACCATCACCGTCACCACCACCACCATCACCGTCACCGTGACAACCAGCACCGCCATCACCACCACCGTCACCGTGACTACCAGCACCACCGTCACCGTGACAACCAGCACCGCCATCACCGTAACTACCAGCACCGTCATCACCACCACCATCACCGTGACAACCAGCACCACCATCACCACCATCACCACCACCACCACCATCACCGTGACAACCAGCACCACCATCACCACCACCACCATGACTACCACCATCACCATGACCACCATCACCGTCATCACCACCATCACCACCATCACCGTCATCACCACCGCCATCACCGTGACAACCAGCACCACCATCACCATAACTACCATCACCGTCATCACCGCCATCACCGTCATCACCACCATCACCCCCATGATCACCACCACCATCACCATCACCACCATCACCCCCATGATCATCACCACCACCATCACCATCACCTCCATGATTACCACCACCATCACCACCATCACCCCCATGATCACCACCACCATCACCACCATCACCACCACCATCACCACCATCACCACCACCACCATCATCACCACCATCACCACCACCATCACCACCACCATCACCACCACCATCACCACCACCATCACCACCACCACCACCGTCACCGCCATCTCACCGGGAGTGTTTGGGCACCAGCCGGTCGTACTGCAGCTGCTGAGCGGCGGGGATGAGTGGACGCACCGAGTCAAAGAGCGGCAGACGAGGCGGAGAGGAGACCACCAATTTCATGTCGCCCACCAACGTGGACACGTCCAGAGACCTGGGACACGGGGGAGACACGGGGGGGACACGGGGGGGAGACACGGGGGAGACACGGGGGAGACACGCGGGGGACACGGGGGAGACACGGGGGGGAGACACGGGGGGGAGACACAGGGGAGACACGGGGGGGAGACACAGGGGGGACACGGGGGAGACACGGGGGGGGAGACACGGGGGAGACACGGGGGAGACACGCGGGGGACACGGGGGAGACACGGGGGGGAGACACGGGGGGGAGACACGGGGGGACATGGGGGGGACACGGGGGGAGACACAGGGGAGACACGGGGGAGACACGGGGGAGACACGGGGGGGACACGGGGGAGACACGGGGGAGACACGGGGGGGGAGACACGGGGGAGACACGGGGGAGACACGCGGGGGACACGGGGGAGACACGGGGGGGAGACACGGGGGGGAGACACGGGGGGACATGGGGGGGACACGGGGGGAGACACAGGGGAGACACGGGGGAGACACGGGGGAGACACGGGGGGGACACGGGGGAGACACGGGGGAGACACGGGGGAGACACGGGGGGGAGACACGGGGGAGACACAGGGGAGACACGGGGGAGACACGGGGGAGACACGGGGGGGACACGGGGGGGACACGGGGGGGACACGGGGGGGACACGGGGGGGAGACGGGGGGGAGACACGGGGGAGACACGGGGGAGACACGGGGGAGACACGGGGGGGACACGGGGGGACACGGGGGGGGACACGGGGGGGAGACACGGGGGGGACACGGGGGGGGAGACACGGGGGAGACACGGGGGGGAGACACGGGGGAGACACGGGGGGGACACGGGGGGGACACGGGGGGGAGACACGGGGGAGACACGGGGGGGACACGGGGGGGAGACACGGGGGGGAGACGGGGGGGACACGGGGGGGACACGGGGGAGACACGGGGGAGACACGGGGGGGGAGACACGGGGGAGACACGGGGGAGACACGGGGGGGAGACACGGGGGAGACACGGGGGGGGAGACACGGGGGAGACACGGGGGAGACACGGGAGAGACACGGGGGGGAGACACGGGGGGGACACGGGGGGGACACGGGGGGGAGACACGGGGGAGACACGGGGGGGGAGACACGGGGGAGACACGGGGGGGAGACACGGGGGAGACACGGGGGGGACACGGGGGGGACACGGGGGGGGAGACACGGGGGAGACACGGGGGGGTGGGTGGGCGAGTGTGCGGGTGAGTGGTCAGTGAGTGGGTGAGTGGGTGGGTGGGTGAGTGAGTAGCTGGGTGGGTGAGTGTGCGGGTGAGTGGGTAGCTAGGTGGGTGAGTGGGTGAGTGGGTGGGTGGGTAGCTGGGTGGGTGAGTGGGTGGGTGAATGAGTAGCTAGGTGGGTGAGTGGGTGAGTGAAGAGCTGGGTGGGTGGGTGAGTGGGTGAGTGGGTGGGTGGGTAGCTAGGTGGGTGAGTGGGTGGGTGAATGAGTGGCTAGGTGGGTGAGTGGGTGAGTGAAGAGCTGGGTGGGTGAGTGGGTGGGTGAGTGAGTAGCTGGGTGGGTGAGTGGGTCAGTGAGTGGGTGAGTGGGTGGGTGAGTGAGTAGCTGGGTGGGTGAGTGTGCGGGTGAGTGGGTAGCTAAGTGGGTGAGCGGGTGGGTAGCTGGGTGGGTGAGTGGGTGAGTGGGTGGGTGGGTAGCTGAGTGGGTGAGTGGGTGGGTGGGTAGCTAGGTGGGTGAGTGGGTGGGTGGGTAGCTGGGTGGGTGAGTGGGTGAGTGGGTGGGTGGGTAGCTAGGTGGGTGAGTGGGTGGGTGAATGAGTGGCTAGGTGGGTGAGTGGGTGAGTGAAGAGCTGGGTGGGTGAGTGGGTGGGTGAGTGAGTAGCTGGGTGGGTGAGTGGGTGAGTGGGTCAGTGAGTGGGTGAGTGGGTCAGTGAGTGGGTGAGTGGGTGGGTGGGTGAGTGAGTAGCTGGGTGGGTGAGTGTGCGGGTGAGTGGGTAGCTAAGTGGGTGAGCGGGTGGGTAGCTGGGTGGGTGAGTGGGTGAGTGGGTGGGTGGGTAGCTGAGTGGGTGAGTGGGTGGGTGGGTAGCTAGGTGGGTGAGTGGGTGGGTGGGTAGCTGGGTGGGTGAGTGGGTGAGTGGGTGGGTGGGTAGCTAGGTAGGTGAGTGGGTGGGTGAATGAGTAGCTAGGTGGGTGAGTGGGTGAGTGAACAGCTGGGTGGGTGAGTGGGTCAGTGAGTGGGTGGGTGGGTGAGTGAGTAGCTAGGTGGGTGAATGGGTGAGTGAAGAGCTGGATGGGTGAGTGAATAGCTGGGAGAGTGGGCGAGTGGGTGGGTGAGTGGGTGGGTGGGTCAGTGAGTGGGTGAGTGAGTGGGCGAGTGGGTGGGTGAGTGAGTAGCTGGGTGGGTGAGTGGGTGAGTGAAGAGCTGGGTGAGTGGGTGAGTGGGTGGGTGGGTAGCTAGGTGGGTGAGTGGGTGGGTGAATGAGTAGCTAGGTGGGTGAGTGGGTGAGTGAAGAGCTGGGTGGGTGAGTGGGTGGGTGAGTGAGTAGCTGCGTGGGTGAGTGGGTCAGTGAGTGGGTGAGTGAGTGGGTGGGTGAGTGAGTAGCTGGGTGGGTGAGTGGGTGGGTGAGTGGGTGGGTGAATGAGTAGCTAGGTGGGTGAGTGGGTGAGTGAAGAGCTGGGTGGGTGAGTGAATAGCTGGGTGAGTGGGCGAGTGGGTGAGTGGGTGGGTGAGTGGGTCAGTGAGTGGGCGGGCGAGTGAGCTATTTCCGTCGGAGTCCACCTACTGGTGGTACAGACGCAGGATGTCGTAGAGGTAGTCCTTCTCGGCCTCGTTGTCGATCAGCAAGTCCACCTGAGTGTGGTACGAAGCGATTAGACTCCAGAACAGGGACACAAAACACACAAACACATACATACACATACATACACTCCACACACACACACTCCACACACACACATACACTCCAACAACAACAACCGCCATTCGCCGCTAAGTGGCGGTGACGTCACCACGACGCTTGTGCCAGGCTATGTGCACCCTGAGGCCACGTGAAGTGTCGAACGCCCGCTGGCAGGAGGTCACGGGGCAGACCCAGGTGCCACGGGTCGACTGACTGAGATGACTGGCTGATGCACCACCTGTGCCCCCTACTGTGCCAACCTGCTGTGCTTTAGCCACCCGGCGCTCCGCTCGTTGTTGTGAGCGTCGCTCCTCCGCCCTCCGTTGTTGTTGGAGGGCGACTACCTCCAACTGCCCAGTAGCATCCTTCACGAGCCTCCTCCACAGAGGCCGATCTTGACACCGCTGGTACCAGTCATCGGCAAGTCCACTCAGCTCCACGTCCTCCTGTACCACATCACTCCATCTCTTCTCTAGCCCGTGCCGCGCCCGCTTAGCCCCCTCAATCCGGCCGAACAAAAGCTGTTTCGGCATGCGTTGGCTGGGCATGCGGGCTACATGACCCAGCCATCGCAGCCTTGCCTGCCGGAGGAGCTCACCGATGGGACCTTGCCCAGAACTTTCAAGGATGTGTGAGCTCCTCACACAATCCAGTCTGGTTAAACCCAGGATGGATCGTAGGCAGGCCAGCCTAAATGTTTCTAACCGGCGAAGATGTTCCATTAGGGGGGTCCACGTTTCGCAAGCGTAGAGAAGGGAGGGAATGACCGTGGCCGAGAAGACCTGAAGCTTAGTGCGGAGCGACAGACCAGGTAGCTTCCACACAGCGTTACGCAACCGATGAAAAGATATTGCCGCTCGACTGATTCGGAGTGAGACCTCTGCTGTTAAACTGGAGCCAGTCATAAGCACACTACCCAGGTATGGGAAACTCTCCACTCTCTCCACAACTGCCCCATCACCGATTGGGAGTTGTGGGGGTGGAGTATCCGATGGTACAAAATACCCAGGCAGGTGCTTAGTTTTGGTGGGGCTGATGGTAAGGCCCCACCTCTTAGTGGCACGCTCCAGGTTCAGCAGCAGCGTCTCCAACTCCTCCTCTGACTGAGCAGCTATTACCAAATCATCAGCATACATAACGTGGTTGACATACACTCCACACACATACACTCCACACACCCACACACCACACACACACCACACACAACACACCCCACACACACACACACCACACCACACACACCACACACACACAACACACACACCACACACACACACACACTACACACACCACACACACACACACTACACACGCCACACACAGACACCACACACCACACACACACCACACACACACCACACACACACCACACACACACCACACACACACCACACACACCACACACACACACACCACACACCATACACACACCACATACACACCGCACACACCGCACACACCACACCACACACACCACACACACACCACACACACCACACACACCACACACACACCACATACACACCGCACACACCGCACACACCACACCACACATACACACACCACAGGGCTATACCAAATAAATGAGCTATGGAACTATGGAACGTTGCCCCTATTCTCAAGCCATGGTCATGGCTGTGAAAACCAAACCCTCTGCGCCCTGGGGCACAGACAGAAGCAACCGACACAAAGTTCATTGCGCGTGGAGACGCAGCTCTCGAGACAACGCAGAGACACGCACTGTACACACACGTGTACTGTACATGCGTGTACTGTACATGCGTGTACAGTACACTCACTGTACAAGCACGTATACTGCACACGCGCGCACAGTGCACACACTGTACAAACATGTGTACTGTACCTGTGCGCACAGCACACACACTGTACAAACATGTGTACTGTACCTGTGCGCACAGCACACGCACTGTACAAACATGTGTACTGTACATGTGCGCGCAGCGCACGCACTGTACAAACATGTGTACTGTGCGTGTGCGCACAGCACACACACTGTACAAACATGTGTACTGTACATGCGTGCACAACACACGCACTGTACACAGTGTACTGTACATGTGCGCACAGCACACGCACAGCACAAACATGTGTGTACAGTGCGTGCACTGTGCACATACGTATACTGCCGTGTATACTTTACACAGCTACGTACTGTACGCAGCTGCACACACGCGCGTGCACTGTGCACACCGATGTGTACTGCACGTCTACTGTACACAGGTGTATACTATACACGTGCATACTGTACATCTGCATATACTGTACACACGTACATACTGTACATCTGTATATACTGTACACATGTGTATACTGTACACATGTGTATACTGTACATCTGTGAATACTGTACACCTGCGTATACTGTACACATGTGTATACTATACACACGTACACACTACATCTGCATATACTGTACATCTGTGTATACTGTACACATGTGTATACTGTACACACGTACATACTGTACATCTATACATACTGTACACAGTAATACTGTAATCTGTATATACTGTACACCTGTGTATACTGTACATCGGTATATACTGTACACATGTGTATACTGTACGCCTGTGTATACTGTACACACGTACATACTGTACATCTGTATATACTATACACATGTATATACTGTACACACGTGTATACTATACACACGTACATACTGTACATCTGTATATACTGTAAACAGGTGTATACTGTACACCTGTATATACTGTACAGTATATGTATACTACGCAATATGATGTACAGATGAATACTGCAGTGTACAGAGGTACTCGCTATATACACACACACAGATGTATACATGTAAACGTTAAGGGCGAACATTCGACGTTTCGGCCAATGGACCCTTCTTTACAGACATCAAAGGAAATTAAAATGACGTTTCACCTCATCGACAGACGCGTGGGGAAGGGCCATTGCGCGGAACGTCTATTATAATTATAATATAATTAATAGATATTATCAACATATTTCGTTGTAATCGTTACAATAGATACATTGTGCTAAGTGTGATGATATCACAGATGTTATCACTTTAAGATATTTATATTATCACGATCGAATTTTACATTATAACGGTGACCACACAGAAACAGACAGAAGTCGCTGTTGTTGCCGCGCGCAGACAGAAGCCGCCCGAGGCCGTGGTCCACCCCATCCACTCACCTTCTGTCTGAACTCCCTCGCCACCTTCTTCTCCATCGCTCCTCTCGCTCGCTGTCTCCCTGTGGCTCTATCTGTCTGTGTCTCTGTCTCCCTGTGTCTCCCTGTGTCTCTGTCTCCCTGTGTCTCCCTGTGTCTCTGTCTCCCTGTGTCTCTGTCTCCCTGTGGCTCTATCTGTCTGTGTCTCTGTCTCCCTGTGTCTCTGTGTCTCCCTGTGTCTCCCTGTGGCTCTATCTGTGTCTCTGTCTCCCTGTGTCTCCCTGTGTCTCTGTCTCTCTCGCTCGCTGTCTGTCTGTCTCTCTCGCTCGCTGTCTCCCTGTCTCCCTGTGTCTCTATCTGTCTCCCTGTGTCTCTATCTGTCTCCCTGTGTCTCTGTCTCTCTGTCTCCCTGTGTCTCCCTGTCTGTCTCTCTGTCTGTCTCTCTCGCTCTGTCTCCCTGTGTCTCTGTCTGTCTCCCTGTCTGTCTCTCTCTCTCGCTGTCTCCCTGTGTCTCTGGGTCTCTCTCTGTCTCTCTGTCTCCCTGTCTCTCTGTCTGTCTCTGTCTGTCTGTCTCCCTGTCTGTCTCTCTGTGTCTCTGTCTCCCTGTGTCTCTATCTGTCTCCCTGTGTCTCCCTGTCTGTCTCTCTGTGTCTCTGTCTCCCTGTGTCTCTGTCTGTCTGTCTCCCTGTCTGTCTCCCTATCTGTCTCCCTGTCTCTGTCTCCCTGTCTCTCTGTCTCCCTGTCTGTCTGTCTCCCTGTCTCTCTGTCTCCCTGTCTCTGTGTCTCTCTCTGTCTCTCTCTGTCTCCCTGTCTCCCTGTCTCTGTGTGTCTCCCTGTCTCTGTGTGTCTCCCTGTCTCCCTGTCTCTGTGTGTCTCCCTGTCTCCCTGTCTCTGTGTGTCTCTCTGTCTCTCTCTGTGTCTCTCTGTCTCTCCCTGTGTCTCTCTCCCTGTCTCTCTCTACGGAGTTGACCGCCGGATCACCGATTGACCACGCGGACGGGAGAAGTGGTGTGACACTCGAAACGTCTGGACTCTCGCTGGCTTGAAGGGGGGGGGGTCCAGCCTCTGGCTACGCGGCGCGATGACGTCATCCGACCCCGGAGGACAAAGTCCGGCCGTGACGTGTGACGCGTTCTACCTGAGCGGAAGATTGACGTCACGCCCGCGCCGCGTTATACCTGAGCGGAAGATTGACGGCACGCCCGCCCCGCGTTCTACCTGAGCGGTGAGGATGATGTCACGCGCGCGCCGCGTTCTACCTGAGCGGAAGATTGACGTCACGCTCGCGCCGTATTCTGCCTGAGCGGGCGATTGACGTCACGCAGGCGCCGCGTTCTACCTGAGCGGTGGGGATGACGTCACGCCCGCGCCGTGTTCTACCTTGCCGGGTGGTAAATGACGTCACGCGACGCGCACTGTAGGGTTTTCAAACCGCGTGTGCATGACGTCACGAGAGATCCCGTACGATTTAATCGAAACATTTGCAGCAGGAGGAATCCGAAAAGCGATAAAGCTCTTTTTGCGCCACGGATATCCCGGTCGGGACGCGGCGTCAGAACGTTACAACGACAAACAAGACAACAAACACGATCGGAGTTCAAAGTTGAGGCAAGGTAAACAAATCGCTTACAAATATAAATACACAAATACACCGCTAAACGAAGTCTACTGCGCAAATGACGTCACGTCCGTTATGTTAAACTGCATATGACGTAACGCGCGTTATGTTCAACTGTATAACGTTTTATTTTGATTTAAAGCTTTCGTGACTGCAGGGATTCATATTCTTGGTTCTTTCGGTAAAGTCACCACCACGTAGAAGGGAAATAATAAAATAATAAAAATATAAAACAATAAACATCTCACGACGTTTCGACTGCAACACAAGCAATCATCATCAGGTGTGAAAACCACAACAAGGAAATGTTATTATATTTTTATTATTTTATTGTTTCCCTTCTACGTGACTTTACCGAAAGAACCAAGAATATGTATAACGTTACGTTCAACTGTGTGTTTATGACGTCACGAGATTGCGTTCATCACGCGCTGTTGCGCCTTCAGATTGTTTGACTGTGTGGGTGACGTCACGATCAGTGTGTCGGCAGTCGCGACCCGCGACGTCATCTCGCTTTTACACTCGTGACGTCGAGGTTAATATGTACATGACGTCATCTTGGTGGTGATGGTGGTAGCCATGGTGATGGGGGAGGCGGGGTCATGGTGGTGACGGTGGTAGCCATGGTGATGGGGGAGAGAATGATGGAGGAGAGAATGATGGGGGAGGGGTGATGGGGGAGAGAATGATGGGGGAGGGGTGATGGGGGAGGGGTGATGGGGGAGGGGTGATGGGGGAGGGGTGAAGGGGGAGGGGGGAGGGGTGATGGGGGAGGGTGATGGGGGAGGGGTGAAGGGGGAGGGGTGATGGGGGAGGGTGATGGGGGAGGGGTGATGGGGGAGGGGTGATGGGGGAGGGGTGATGGGGGAGGGGTGAAGGGGGAGGGGTGAAGGGGGAGGGGTGATGGGGGAGGGTGATGGGGGAGGGGTGATGGGGGAGGGTGATGGGGGAGGGGTGATGGGGGAGGGGTGATGGGGGAGGGGGGAAGGGGGAGGGGCGATGGGGGAGGGGCGATGGGGGAGGGGCGATGGGGGAGGGGTGATGGGGGAGGGTGATGGGGGAGGGTGATGGGGGAGGGGTGAAGGGGGAGGGGTGATGGGGGAGGGTGATGGGGGAGGGGTGATGGGGGAGGGGTGATGGGGGAGGGTGATGGGGGAGGGTGAAGGGGGAGGGGCGATGGGGGAGGGGCGATGGGGGAGGGGTGATGGGGGAGGGGTGATGGGGGAGGGTGATGGGGGAGGGGTGATGGGGGAGGGGTGAAGGGGGAGGGTGATGGGGGAGGGGTGATGGGGGAGGGGTGATGGGGGAGGGGCGATGGGGGAGGGGCGAAGGGGGAGGGGCGATGGGGGAGGGGTGAAGGGGGAGGGGTGATGGGGGAGGGTGATGGGGGAGGGGTGAAGGGGAGGGGTGATGGGGGAGGGTGATGGGGGAGGGGTGATGGGGGAGGGGTGATGGGGGAGGGGTGATGGGGGAGGGGCGATGGGGGAGGGGCGATGGGGGAGGGGCGATGGGGGAGGGGCGATGGGGGAGGGGCGATGGGGGAGGGGCGAAGGGGGAGGGGTGATGGGGGAGGGGTGAAGGGGGAGGGGTGATGGGGGAGGGGTGAAGGGGGAGGGGCGATGGGGGAGGGGTGATGGGGGAGGGGCGATGGGGGAGGGGCGATGGGGGAGGGGCGATGGGGGAGGGGTGAAGGGGGAGGGGTGATGGGGGAGGGGCGACATCTCAAGAGGCGTCGACTCGTAGCAAGGCCGCTCGTGAGTGCACAGAGACAAAGCTCCCCCAGGTAGCCTCTAGCAGGGCTGTAGGGGCAAGTGCTGTAGGGGCAAGGGCTGTAGGGGCAGGGCTGTAGGGGCAAGTGCTGTAGGGGCAAGGGCTGTAGGGGCAAGTGCTGTAGGGGCAGGGCTGTAGGGGCAAGGGCTGTAGGGGCAGGGCTGTAGGGGCAAGTGCTGTAGGGGCAGGGCTGTAGGGGCAAGTGCTGTAGGGACAGGGCTGTAGGGGCAAGTGCTGTAGGGGCAGGGCTGTAGGGGCAAGTGCTGTAGGGGCAGGGCTGTAGGGGCAAGTGCTGTAGGGACAGGGCTGTAGGGGCAAGTGCTGTAGGGGCAGGGCGGTAAGGGCAGGGCTGTAGGGGCAGGGGCTGTAGGGGCAAGTGCTGTAGGGGCAAGGGCTGTAGGGGCAAGTGCTGTAGGGGCAGGGGCTGTAGGGGCAAGTGCTGTAGGGGCAGGGCTGTAGGGGCAAGTGCTGTAGGGGCAGGGGATGTAGGGGCAAGTGCTGTAGGGGCAGGGCTGTAGGGGCAAGGGCTGTAGGGGCAAGTGCTGTGAGTAGCCGCGACTGTCACACACAGAGGGGGTGGGTGGCCTGCACCACGCTCGCACGCCCGGCCGCCTTTGTATCTCCCCAGTTCTGTTTGCTCCACAATACCGCCCCAGGGTACGAATTTGAGGCTGAGTCTACCTAGGGGAGGTCCGGGAACCGCTTGTTGTAGATCATCGCTGCTGCTGCTGCTGAGTGGTACTGGTGGTGGTGATGGTGGTGGTGATGGTGGTGGTGATGGTGGTGGTGGTGATGGTGGTGGTGATGGTGGTGGTGGTGATGGTGGTGGTGATGGTGGTGGTGATGGTGATGGTGATGGTGGTGGTGATGGTGGTGGTGGTGATGGTGGTGGTGATGGTGGTGGTGATGGTGGTGGTGATGGTGGTGGTGGTGATGGTGGTGGTGGTGGTGATGGTGGTGATGGTGGTGGTGGTGATGGTGGTGGTGGTGGTGATGGTGGTGGTGGTGGTGATGGTGGTGGTGATGGTGGTGGTGGTGATGGTGGTGGTGGTGGTGATGGTGGTGGTGATGGTGGTGGTGGTGATGGTGATGGTGGTGGTGATGGTGGTGGTGGTGGTGATGGTGGTGGTGGTGATGGTGGTGGTGATGGTGATGGTGGTGGTGATGGTGATGGTGGTGGTGATGGTGATGGTGGTGGTGATGGTGGTGGTGATGGTGGTGGTGGTGATGGTGATGGTGGTGGTGCTGGTGGTGGTGATGGTGGTGGTGGTGGTGATGGTGGTGATGGTGGTGGTGGTGATGGTGGTGGTGGTGCTGGTGGTGATGGTGGTGATGGTGGTGGTGATGGTGGTGGTGGTGGTGCTGGTGGTGGTGGTGGTGATGGTGGTGGTGCTGGTGGTGATGGTGGTGGTGGTGATGGTGGTGGTGGTGATGGTGGTGGTGATGGTGGTGGTGGTGCTGGTGGTGGTGATGGTGGTGGTGGTGATGGTGGTGGTGGTGATGGTGGTGGTGGTGATGGTGGTGGTGGTGGTGGTGCTGGTGGTGATGGTGGTGGTGGTGCTGGTGGTGGTGGTGATGGTGGTGGTGCTGGTGGTGATGGTGGTGATGGTGGTGGTGGTGATGGTGGTGATGGTGGTGGTGGTTATGGTGGTGATGGTGGTGGTGGTGATGGTGGTGGTGATGGTGGTGATGGTGGTGGTGGTGCTGGTGCTGGTGGTGCTGGTGGTGGTGGTGCTGGTGGTGGTGATGGTGGTGGTGGTGATGGTGGTGGTGATGGTGGTGGTGATGGT